ACTTTCTCAGACCACATTGCTAAAAGTCCTGCATCCTGCAGATTTGCTTTATACAACATTAGGAAGATCAGGCCCTTTCTTTCGGAACATGCTTCCTTGTTCACTGGACTATTGCAATGCTCTCTTGGCAGTTCTTCCAGCCACTTCTATCAAACCTTTACAATTAATCCAGAATGCGGCAGCAAAGTCAATTTTTAATGAGACAAAAGGAATGCACGTCACACCTCTGTTTATCAATTTGCACTGGCTAGTGTCTACCAATAGCTGCTCGCATAAAATTCAAGGCATTAATGCTTGCCTACAAAACCACCACTGGCTCTGCACCCCTTTACCTAAATTCATTACTTCAGACTTATGTGTATCTAGAAGCTTGCGTTCTGCAAGTGAACAGCGCTTTATTGTGCCATCTCAAAGCACAAAATCACTTTCTCTGACTTTTAAATTAAATGTTCCCTCCTGCAGGAATGACCTGCCCAACTCAATCCCAGCAGCTGAGTCCTTAGCCATCTTCAAGAATTGGCTAAAAACACATCTCTTTCATCTTTATTTGACCCTAGCACTCTAGCTCTAGCACTCTCTATTCTAATTCTATTCTTAAAAAAAAAAAAAAAAACTTGTCCGTTTTAGACTTGCACTCTATTCATTTACTGCTTGTTTTCTTTAAAAAAAGACTAACACTAGCTTTTCTAATCTTTTTGTATTCTATCTATTTGTTTTCTTTTTATTTATTATACAATTAACAAAAGCAAAAAAGGCCTCTAACACTAGCTTGCTCTATTCTTTTTCTATTCTATCTGTTTTCTTTTTATTTATTATATAATTTTAAAAGCCCTTGCTATGTGTACTCCGTTAAGCTAACTGAGACTTCTTATAGCACTTGTATATCATTGTTCTTTTGTTGATTTTGATTGCTTCCATTGTTCTCACTTGTAGGTCGCTTTGGATAAAAGCATCTGCTAAATGACTATATGTAAATGTAATAATTCGTCACACACTCCAGTGAGCATCAGAGATGCTGGAAACACACTGTTAGCACAGCAAACAAAACACACTCACGTGCATCCGTCCCGAACAAACACACCGGACTGATGACAGACGGACCAAACACACACTCAACAGTCTGACTGACAGAGAGGCCACGCATTACACAACGCTTCACACAATACAGATCATGTCAATGCAGTTTCAGAAACAAAAAAACAACAGCAATTCATCAATTATGAAAGTAATTCCATTTCGGCTCTAAACGCAGCTCTAAAGGATAATAGTTCAGTTTAGTTCAGTAACTGATGTTGCAAAGTTAATTCTGTTCAAGTGCTGTTTTCATCCGATAGTGTACACGTACAGTTAAACTGAATACCAAACCCCATCTGAACTCCAGACTGTGCTGCTGCATAAACTGCTGATTTTAAAGGAATATTCCAGCTGAAGCTCAGATAAAGCTCTACTGATTTCTGTTAAGAAATATCAGTATCAGCTCAAACAATTCAATTACTTGAGTTGTCTAATGAAAACGATGTGAATGACATTTTTGAATTGCAAGAACTGAAAATGCAAGGAATACAATTAATTATTGCTCACAAATGAGTAGTGATTTGCAGAAAAACAAAGATGTATGGCAACAGATCAAGAGTGACTCCTGTTCACACTGGATCTGATTATTAGTAATATAAATATTTTTTATGGTTTTAGTTTTAGTTAACTGTAATAACCCTGAAAAAACCGAGCAAACTAAAAATCTTTGAGGATTTAATTTTTATTCTAAACATCTGTCGTCCTTTCACATTTGTGGCCGAAACTTAACAGAGCACCTATAGTGACTGATTAAAGTGAGACAACGAGACACACTTCATCTGTCTTCATCTTGAGTTCTCGTCCGTCTCCTTCATAACTGAGCATGAACGCGTCCGTGTTGTGCTGTGTTTTTACTCTGGACCATGGAAACACCAAACTACGGAAACAGAGAACAAGCGTCGTTGTCTCCTCACAGAGTTATGTCCTCCTG